CTACCACTTGAGCCACAGCGCCACTTCCGGCTTTTTTCTTTTTGCTTATGTGGTGCTGAGGAATCGAACCAGGGCCTCAAGCATGCAAGGCAAGCGCTCTACCACTGAGCCACCTTCCCAGCCCCCTCTAGAATTATTTTAGAATCCAGTTTAGTTTACAAAAGTAAGTGACCAGGGCTATAATTTGTTACTTTTGATAACTGCTAGGGTATTTCCTTTGAGACTTTGTGTGTATGCTGTGAGGCTTGTGCTCAGGACTTGGGCGCTGTCCCTGAGGGTTTTTTTGTTTTTTGTTTTTTTTGCTCTCGGCTAACACTACCACTTGAGCAGCAGCTCCATTTCTGGTTTTTGTTTTTGTTTTCGGTTAATTGGAGATAAGAGTCTCCCTGACTTTCCTGGCCCTATGAAAGACCTTAGTTTGAAGCCATCTAAGGGAAGAAAAGTCCATGAAACTCAGTCTCCAAAATAAACAGCAAAAAAGCCAGGCTGGAGGTGTGCCTCAAGTGCTTGCCAGAGTAAGAGCCTCTGAGTTCAAACTCTTGTACTACCACTAAGGAGATCTGGTCTGGCCAGCACCATCTTGGCCATATGGTGGATGGTAGGGTGTGACATCTTGTCTTCATGGCGAGGGCAGGTGACATCCCAGCCTCCCAGATGATAGGGGAGCCTGAATTCCTGGAGGCAGGGGCTAGGGCTTGGTTCATAGGTTACTAAACCTGTCAGTCCTGTGCCTGGGACTGGAGTTTCCTGTGACCCTGACCAGACCCTATTTAGGCCTGGAGCAGTTCAGGCACCTTGACACCATGCACATGTCTCTGTGATCCCGTCCTGTCTCCTGTCTCTTCTCCGCTCACCATTGGTGTTCCACTTCAGCTCTCCATCAGAGCTGATCCTAGCCCTGGAATTGGTTTGTTGGTATTGTTTTTGTTCTTTCTTTCCTTTCCGGCCTTCATGGTTCTATTTCCTAACAGTGTCAAGTGTATTTGTTGGCTTCTGGTCTTTGAGACATGCAGTGGCCAGCCTTTTAAAAAAGACTCCCGATTCCACCTTTCAAAATGTGGTTTCTCTGTTTTCTTGCTCTGCCCACTGCGACAAAGAAATTCCAGCCTGGTGCAGGTGCAGCGGACACAGACGTCCATAATCCCAGCTACTAAGGAAGGCTAAGGCGAAATGAGCCCAAGAGCCCAAGAGGTCGAGGCCTAGCAGCTCATCATGGTGAGGACACAAAACTCCCTTTACAAGCACAAAACAACATTTTAACAGAAACCAAAGTGATATATGGTGAACTGTGTGTTAAAATATATTATATCTCAATGTAAAAAGCAGCTGTCACCATATATTTTTTCAATTAATTGTAGCTGAAACAAAACAAAATGGCGACGGGCTGCCGAGGTCACGTGACCACCATTTTGTCTCCTTCCCAGGCTTTTTCCTCAGCGCGGGCTTCCAGGCACGTCGCCGCCCATTGTTCAGCGAAGCCAAGGTAACTTCTCAGGCGCGCTCCCATTCTAGCGGTGTAGTCCGAGGGACGAGTTTCAAGAGAGCGAGCCGGGGAGCGCGCACGTATGACGTCAGGCCGTAAGCGTCATTCCTTCAGCTGCTGGGGTGGGGGAACGGCGTGGAACGAGACGGGGAAGTTGGCGCATGCGCGCACGGCTGACGGGTTTGAAATGGCTTCGGTGTTAGCCGGGACCCGACTCAGGTGAAGGTTTGGTTAACGTGTGGTTAGAGCAACGGGTGGCGGAGCCAAGGTTTCTAACGTCTTAGCGGATGCTCAGAAGGGTTGGGGGTGCCGGTTTTGGTGACCCAGTAGCCGCAGGCCGGCGACGGCGGGGCTCTCGTGGGACCGAGGCGGGAGGGACGCGGTCCCTTTTGTGCGGGTCGGAGCAGGCCCCGCGCGGCCTCCCCTCCCCCGCCGCCGCGCTCCCGGCCCCGCGGCCGCCCGCGCCCCTTGGCCTCGCTCCCCGAAGGCCGATCCGTCTCGTCCGCACGGACAAGGTGTTCGCCCGGCGGCTTCCGGGGCGGGGGAGGGGTGAAGGGAGGCGCCGGGGTTTGGGGGGTGGCGGGGATGGAGGCGCTCCGTGAGGCCTGGCGTCTGCCAAGTCCCGGGCTGTGAGTATCCCGGGTTAGCGCTTCCCCCGGCGGGAAGCTGGGGCGGCCGATCCCGTCTTCCCGGGTCTGCGCCTGGCCCGCTTGCAGCTGGGGCCGGAGGAAGATGGATGGCCGCGCTCCTGCGCGTCGGTCGGAGGGAGTGGTGGCAAACACGCAGGGAGATGCGCGCACCGAGAGCGTCGCGGTTTCTGGGCTTGATTTCCTTCCTGGGGAGGAAGAGGGTCTTCTCCGAGGGTTCTGAAGGACGCATGCGTTATCCTTACCTCTCCTCGGTGGAGGAGGCGGGGGAACGAAGACCCTTAATGGTGACCCCCTCCCTCCCTCCCCTCTCCAGAAAGTAGAGATGATCCTTACTAAAATGGTTTTCTATTTTTATTTGGGGGTGGGTGTGTCTCATGCCAATTTCCCTTCATTGGTTTCATTTCGATTGGATGAGTTTCCATTCCCTCGCCCAGAGAAAAACACGCAGCCTATGTAAAACTCTAACCACCAGGTAGATAACGGCAGATAGTTTTCTGTCTAAATGTGATGGTTTGTAGTCATGGAGGGAAGTACCTTTCTTTGAAGTCTACCCTCTTAATACTTTTTTTTTTAAAGTACTTTTGGCGACTCAGTTGATGTAAGATTTTTTTTTTGCCTTATTTCAAATGTTATAGTTATTTCTATTGAGGAAGTCCTTGATACAGTATTCCAGATACCCTTTGGTGAGGTTGAACTTTGAAACATGGATCCTTTCTTAATAGATCACTGCTATAGAAGAGAAACAGTGAAGGTTTTTTTCCCCCTTGCATCATGGCTCAGTTTGGAGGACAGAAGAATCCGCCCTGGGCTACTCAGTTTACAGCCACTGCAGTATCACAGCCAGGTCAGCTACTGTAAACTCGTGGTAAGGGGGGGGGGCGCTGGGGAGCCCTCTCATGACTGTGTTGATTTAGGCTGTGCATGATAAGGCAAAATATTTACAAATGATGTGTCCCAAATGGTGTGCCCTTTATATGTGAAGATTTACTATGTTGTCCAGCCTGGCTTGGAAACATTACATATTCCAGTCTGGCCTCAAACTGGTGTCCTGCCTAGACCTCCTGAGTGCTTGTACCACACCCAGCTCAAAAGGAAGGGGTCAAGGGCAATGTATATATTTCAAGCTCTTAAAATAGTTTCACAGTTTTTTTAGTTATTTGGGGGAGGAGAAAGGGAGGCTTGGGGCTTTAACTCAGTGCCTGGGCACTGTCCTTGAGACTCTGTGCTCAATGCTAGCACCCTACCACTTGAGCCACAGTACCACTTCCAACTTTTTCTGTTAATGTGGTAGGTACTGAGGAATCAAATCCAGGGCTTCATGCATGCTAGGCAAGCCCTCTACCACTAAGCCACATTCCTTGTCCTTATAGTGTATTTAGTTACTCTTGAATAACATAAATCGTATTTCATTCAGATCTAATATTTCTCCATGTTAAATTATAAGAAACTTAGAATTGACTTGATTTGATGAAACAGGAACTGGAATTAACAACTTCTGTGCTTCCAGAAGCAAGTTTTATGTTGCCATGCTTTGATAAACTAAGCATGTTTAGCTCAACGGCATCATTTTGTTTTAAATTCATGTTTCTGTTGTATCAATAAAGTAGTTGTATGGTAGTATTCTATTATCTATAGCTCTTAACATTTATGTTGAAATTATTTGTATGTATGTTACAGACATTAGTTTTTAAGACTGAGCAAAAGAGACATCAAAGGTTTATTGATTTTGTCAAAAAATAGTAAACATGTCTCCCCTTTCTGAAATTTGTAGATATTCCAAATGTAAACATATAAATATATAAAATGCATTTTATTACTATCTTCTGGTGCTGTTTGAAATTACTTCTGGATAGTCTTGGACATACCATTAATCAGAATTCTTCAAAATCTGAGGTTTTGCTGACACACAGTTTTCTTCAGTGAGTAGGGAAGTATTTTTAGCATCCAGTCTTAGTTTTCTTTCTTTTTTTTTTTTTTTGGTCCGGACGTGGGGCCTGAACTCTGGGCCTGGGCGCTGTCCCTCAGCTCTTCAGCTCAAGGCTAGCGCTCTACCACTTGAGCCACAGCGCCACTTTCGGCTTTTTTCCTTTTTGCTTATGTGGTGCTCAAGGTGAGTGCTCTACAACTTGATCCACAGCACCATTTCTGGCTTTTTTGAGTAGTTTATTGGAGATAAGAATCTCACAGACTTTCCAGCCCAGGCTGGCTTCAAAGCACTGTCCTCAAATCTCAGCCTCCTGATTAGTTAGGGTTACAAGCATAAGCCACAGGCACAGGGTTTATTGATTGATTGTCAGTTGTGGGCCTTGAACTCTGGGCTTGGGAGCTGTCCCTGAGCTCTTAAGCTCAAGGCTAGCACTGTACCATTTGAGCCACAGCACCACTTTGGTTTTCTGGTGGTTAATTAGGGATAAGAATCTCATGGACTTTTCTGCCCAGGCTAGTTTTGAACCGAGATCCTCAGGTCTGAGCCTCCTGAGTAGCTAGGATTATAGGTGTGAGCCATCAGCGCCCAGCGTTAAATTTATTTTTGGTTTTTGAGCATTGTACCTGATTTTAAGAGATTTTTTTTTCTTTAGTTATTTTTCAAGTAGTGTCTTTCATTTTTGCCTGAGACAGTTCTCCAACCTGATACTCCTACATACAGCCTCTTTTGGAGCTGGGATCATAATAGGCATACCTCAGCCACATCCAACTAAGAGTATATTTTCACATGTGTGTTTATGTGTGTATGCTAGTACTATTGCTTGAACTTGGGGCCTGGAACTCTGCTTTTTTACGCACAGCTGGCACTGTATCACTTGAGCCATACCTCAAGCTACCTAAATACGATTTTTTTTCTTCTTTTTTGGGGAAGCTGGTCCTAGGACTTGTACTCAGGGCCTGAGTTCAAGGCTTTTCTGCTGGAGCTAGCTTCAAACTACCTCAGATCTCAGTGTGCTGTAGTTTAGGATTACTGATGTGTGCTAGCAGTACCTGGGAACATTTTAAGCTAAATGTAATTGCTAATTTTTTTGTTAACAGCTTCAAATATAATTTGAAGGGAAAAAAGTCAGCAAAACACATGAAAAATATTTCTTCAACCTGAGTATCCATCATCTTAGTTACTCAGAATGCTGAGGCCTGGAGGATTTTGATTCAAATCCAGCCCTGGCAGAATAATCTGTGAGATTTTATCTTCACTTTAAAAAGCAAAATGCCAGAGTAGAGGTATGGCTCACATGGTCGAATAGCTGGCTGTGAGCAAAAAAGTGGAGGAGGAGGACAAGGCCTTGAGTTCAGGCCTTGGTACTCCCCTATCCCCCATTTAAAGAAAAAAGTCATAGCTAAGTGCTGTAATCATTTCCACTTGGAAGGTTAAGTTTGGGAGGATGGCAGTTCAAGGCCAGTCTGAATATGCACTTAAGAGGCCTTCTTAGTCAATTGCTGTATGCAGTCATCCCAACTGCCTGGGTAGCTGAGATCGAGAGAATTGTGGTTCCATGTTAGACTGGACAGAAGAGTTACTGGTATTTCCATCAATGGAAGAAACTGGGTATGGTGACAGACACCTGTCATTCCACCTAGGATGAGAAGTGTCAAGCTAGTAGGTCAAAAGCAAAGCAAAACAAAAGAACAACCACAGGCACCTGGGTTGTAGTCAGGTTCCACCCTGATCAAAATGTGAGAGCATAGCTGGGAGACAGTGGCTCCCATCTATAATCCTAGTTACTCAGGGGGCTGAAATGTGGAGAATCTCCAATTACCTAGTAAAATGCTGAAAAAGCATGGCTCAAGTGGTAGAGTACCAGCTGTGGGGGAAAAAAGGCTAGAGAGAGTTTGAAGCTCTTCAAGTCCCTATATACTAGCACATACAAATAACCAGAGCAAGAAGAAAGGGCTGGCGTTATTGCTTAGTGCTAGAGCACCTGCCTAGAAAGTGCAAGGCCCTGAGTTAAAACCCCAGTACTGTCCTCCACCTTCCCCCTCCCCCACCTAAATAAAGATTTCGTCAAAATATTAACATAGGACTGATAGCATTCTCAAGTGGTAGAGTGCCAGGCATGAGCAAGAAAGTTAAGCAACAGCCACGTCCTGAGTTCTTGTCTGGGTACTAACACACATGCCCAAATGAATAATAGTTTAGGTGCCACTTTCACTTTTTTTTTTTAAAGCAACCACTGGAATACTCCAGATATATCAGTATTTGAGGAGACTTATAACATCGATCGATCATATAGTATAAAAAGTGTAACAGAGTTGTTCAACTCAGAGTACTTTTTTTTTCCTTTAGTGTTGCTGGGAATTGACACAGGACTTAGTACAAACAAGACAGGTGTTTTACCATACCACTGAACTGTACCCTCATCTCCCTTTAAATGATACTTTTGTTCTTTGTGCCTGTATTTCTGATTCTATTTCTTCTAAGAACGATACAGAAATTGCCATTCTTTTTTCTTTTTGCAATACTGGGGCTTGAACTCAGGGCCTCTTACTCTTGTTCACTTTTCTACTCAAGGCTAGCATTCTACCATAGTACTTCTAACTCTTTTTTTGGGGGGTCAGTCATGGGCTTGAACTCAGGTCCTGGGTGCTGTCCCTGAGCCTCTTTGTGCTCAAGCCTAGCACTCTTATCACTTGAACCACAGTGTCACTTTGGATTTGTGAGTGGTTTATTAGAGATGAGACTTTTCTGCCTGGGCTAGCTTCAAACTGCAATCCTCAGATCTCAGCCTCTCTTATTAGCTAGGATAATAGGCTTGAGCACAATTCTGGCTTTTTGGCTGGAGTCTTAGTGACTTTTCTGCCGCTACTAGCTTCAAACTTATCTTCCAGTTCTTTCTTACTCTCAGCTTCCTGGGTAGCTAAGATTATAGATGTGAGCCAGAGTCTTCCAACTTAATATTAAGTCAATGATAATAAATATTTTCAGTCATTGGGTTCTATCATATGGGCTTAGTTAGAACAGAATCTGGAGCAGGGTGCTGGTGCCTCACACCTGTAATCCTATCTACACAGAAGTCTTAGATCTGAGGATTAAAGTTCAGACTAGGCAGAAAACTCCTTGAAACTCAGCTCCAGTTAAACACCAAAAAGCCAGAAATACAGCTGTGCTCAAGTGGAGGAGTGCTAGCCTTTAGTATGAAAGCTCAGGGACAATGCCTAGGCTCTTAGTTCAAGCCCCAGCCCTGGCACTAAAAGAAAAAAATAATCTTGAAGGCTGCAGCAGATTGTCCAAGGAGGTGTTTGATTCTAAGAAAGTTATCTTTCAATAAGTGACACTGTAGATGCTTTGTACATAGTTGTATTCTTTTTTGTCGGTCATGGGGCTTGAACTCGGGGTCTGGACTCTGTCCCTAAACTCTTTAGGTCAAGGGTAGTGTTCTACCACTTGGAGCCACAGTGCCACTTCTGGTTTTCTGGTGGTTAATTGGAGTTAAGGGTTGCATGGGGACTGTCCTGCCTGGTCTGGCCTTGAACTTCAATCTTCATATCTCATCCTCATGAATAACTATGATTATAGGTGTGAGCCACCAGCACCTGGCTATACTTTATTCTTTTATTTTTTTTTAAATTTTTTTCTTTATCAGTAAATGTAATATTTGTTTGCTTTTCTAACTTTATTATTTTTTGGGGGGGGGTCCGGTCGTGGGGCCTGAACTCTGGGCCTGGGCGCTGTCCCTCAGCTCTTCAACTCAAGGCTAGCGTTCTACCACTTGAGCCACAGCGCCACTTCCGGCTTTTTTCTTTTTGCTTATGTGGTGCTGAGGAATCGAACCCAGGGCCTCGAGCATGCAAGGCAAGCGCTCTACCACTGAGCCACCTTCCCAGCCCCTATACTTTATTCTTATACAGAAAAAAGTTTGTACATATTCACTATAATAGACACAGTACTCTTGTTAAAAAATTTTGACCTGAGTTTGGTTCATACTGTTGATGCAGACTCTTTGAATATAGACTGTGCTGGTTTCACGTCTTTTGAATATCCATTGGTGAATTATATGGTAGTTCTATTTTTAATTTTTTGAGGTACTTCCATACTGTTTCCATGATACTAATAATCTACATTCCACCGAACAGTCTGCAAGTGTTCCACATCCTTATCAGCAGTTGTTAACCATTTGTTTTTATGCCTACATGCATGTCTGTTTAAATGCATGGGCTTACTCCCACTTGCTGCTGGGGATCAAACTCAGAGTATTGCTTATGCTAGGCAAGCATTGCACCACTGAACACTAATAACTAGTCTGTGTTTGCCTTTTTTTTGGGTCAGTTGTGGGCCTTGAACTCTAGGCCTGGGTGCTCTCTGAGCTCTTCAGCTCAAGGCAAGCACTCTACCACTTGAGCCACAGCGCCACTTCTGGTTTTCTGGTGGTTAATTAGAGATAAGAGTTTCATGGACTTTCCTGCCCAGGCTGACTTTGAATTGTAATCCTTAGATCTGAGCCTCCTGAGTAGCTAGGATTACAGGTGTGAACTACCGGTACCCGGCTATTATATCACTTTTGAGGAATACTTATTCAGGTCCTTTGTCTAGGTACTAATAAGGTTCTTTATCTTTGTACTGTTGAATTATTTTTTATGTATGTTTTGTTTTTTGTGCCAGTTTTGGGGCTTGAACTCAGGGCCTGTGTACTATCCCTGTGCTTCTTTTTGGTCAAAGTTAGTATTGTTTTTTTTTTTTTTTGTCATCAGTCCTGGGGTTTGAACTGTACCACTTGAGCCACAGTCCCACTTCCCGTTTTCTGAGTGGTTTATTGGAGATGAGAGTCTCACGGACTTTCCTGCCCAGGCTGGCTTTGAACTGCATTCCTCAGATCTCAGTCTCCTGAGTAGCTAGGATTACAGGCCCATCTCAAAGCTAGTATTCTACCACTTGAGCCACAGCTCCACTTCTGGCTTTTTTTGAGCAGTTTATTGGAAATAAGAGTCTTACAGACTTTCCTGCCCAGGTTGGCTTCTAACCTTGATCCTTAGATGTCAACCTCCAGAATATCTGGGATTATAGGTGTGAGTTACCAGCACCTGACTGTTTTTTTTTTGTTGTTGTTTTGTTGGTTGTGGGGCTTCAACTCTTGGGTTTGGGCGCTGTCCTTCAGTTCTTCAGCTCAAGGTTAGCACTCTACCACTTGAGCCATAGCGCCACTTCTTGTGGTTTATTGGAGGGAAGAGTCTCACGGACTTTCCTGCCCTGGCTGGCTTTGAGCCATGATCCTTAGAGCTCAGCTTCGTGAGTAGCTAGGATTACAGGCGTGAGCCACTGGCACCCAGGTTGTTTTGTGTTTGTTTTTTTTTTTTTTTTTATGAGTGATGGACTCCCTGTGTAGCTAGCTAGTCTCAGTTGAATTCAGCAGCACCACTGAAATTCCGTAGTAATTGACTCTCATGGAAAATTGATGGAAGGAAGCAAAATAATCTTGATTTCTCCTCACCCCCTTTAATGTCATTTTAGCTGCACTAGGTGTTCAGCAGCCATCACTTCTTGGAGCATCTCCTACCATTTATACCCAGCAGACTGCCTTGGCAGCAGCAGGCCTGACCACACAAACACCAGCAAACTATCAGTTAACACAAACTGCAGCATTACAGCAACAAGCTGCTGCTGCTGCAGCTGCATTGCAACAGGTGGGCTTTTAATAAGTTAATGTGTGACATAAACTAAATCTGAGTAGCTAGAACAAGGAATATGTGACTATCTTAATGCTTTTTTTCATGGTAAAAGTTAACATGTAAGAAAAAATACTGTATATGCCTAGCATATATGGGAAAGTAGAATTACATACTGAAAATTCACATATTATTATTTGAAAAAAATTCAACTTTAGCTATTCTAAAAAGTTTGTTTTTGACTATATTTTAATGTAAGAATGTTACTTTTGAGAATGTATAAAACTAGCACATTTTTCATTGAATAACCTGATTTTTTCATCTTTCAGCAATATTCACAACCTCAGCAGGCCTTGTATAGTGTGCAGCAACAGGTTAGTTTATATTTCCCATGCCAAATTTTTATTTATTTATTTTTTTTCTGCTAATCCTGGGCCATGAACTCAGGACCTGGGCACTGCTGCTGAGCTTTTCTTGCTCAAGGCTGGCACTGTACCACTTGAGTTACAGTTTCACTTCTGGCTTAATTGGGAAAAGAGTTTCATAGACTTTCCCACCTGGGTTGGCTTGAAACTGTGATCTTCATATCAGCTTCTGGAGTTGCTTGAATGGTGTGAGCCACTTGTCCCTGGTTAAAACTATTTTGAGCCAGGCGTTGGTGGCTCAGGCCTATAAGCCTAGTTACTCAGGAGGCTGAGATCTGCGCAGTTCCAAGCCAGCCCTGGCAAGAAAGTCTGTGAGACTCTTATCTCCAATAAACCACTCAGAAAATCGGAAGTAGTGCTGTGGCTCAAGTGATAGAGCTCTAGAGCTGAAGAGCTGTGGGACAGTGCCCAGGCCAAGTTCAAGTCCCATGACCGACCTCCTCCACCCAAAAAAAATTGTTTTGAATTAGAACTGCATATAGATTGTTATGCTTATATTTGTATTCTGTAGTTTATTTTTCATCCTTCACATCAGTTTGTTTTCTTTCTAGTAAACAAAAGGTCTTACTGTTGCCATGAAGGTTATATCTCAATGTGGATATACTCATATACCTAGGTAACTGCCTAGGGCAAATCTGACCACTTAATATGAATGTGTCTCATTTCAGACATATATATATGAACTTGATGGCCAGGACTTTCTGGTTTTTTTTTTTTTTTATTATTTTTTTTTTCCTTCCTTTTTTTGATCAGTCGTGGGCCTGGGCACTATCCGTGAGCTCTTTCTTTTCTACCACTTTGAGCCATAGCACCGCTTCTGGTTTTCTGGTGGTTAATTAGAGAGGAGAGTCTCATGGTCTTTCCTGTCCAAGCTGGCTTTGAACTAGGATCCTCAGAAATCAGGTGTGAAACTTAATTAAATTTACCTGTTTGCTTTGGAACAAATTACTTCTATGTATCAGATTTGCAGATGCTTAAAAAGTTGTAGCTAGTCTTATAACAAATGGTATGTTATTTTTCATACATTAAAAAAAATAATGTAGTGTTTAAGAGGCAGTTTTCTGCTAGGCCTGATAGTACAGAACTGTAATCATAGCTCTTGCCAAGAATAAGACAGGAGGATGGTAAATTCAAGGCTGGCTTGGGCTTTATCATAAAAGACAATAGGGCTGGGAAGTTGGCTCAGTGGTAGAGTGCTTGCCTCGCATGCATGAGGCCCTGGGTTTGATTCCTAAGCACCACATAAGCAGAAAAAAGCTGGAAGTGGTGCTGTGGCTCAAGTGGTAGGTGCTAGCCTTGAGCCTTGATCTGAAGAGCTGAGAGCCAGCACCCAGGCCCAGAGTTCAGCCCCCACGACCACCACCACCAACAACAACAACAAAAAAAGGCTCAATAAAATTAAAAGGTATGGCCTGGGAAGGTGGTAGAGTGCTTGCCTTGCATGCATGAGGCCCTGGGTTTGATTTCTCAGCACCACATAAGCAGAAAAAGTCGGAAGTGGCACCATGGCTCAAGTGGTAATGCTGTAGCCTTGAGCTGAAGAGCTGAGGGACAGCGCCCAGGCCCAGAGTCCAGGCCCCACAACTAATCAAAAACAAAGAAAAAAAAGCAAAAGGTATATTTTCTTCTTTTCTTTTTTTTCTTCTTTCTTTTTTCTTTTTTGCCAATCCTGGGGCTTGGATTCAGGGCCTGGGCACTGTAACTGAGTTTCTTTTGTTCAAGGCTAGCCACAGTGCCACAGTGCCACTTCTAGCTTTTCTATTTATGTGGTGCTGAGGAATCAAACCCAGGACTTCATGGATATTAGGCATTCTACCACTAAGCCACATTTCCGACCCTAAAAGGTATTTTTCTGTGAAGCAGTTCTGATTGATTCTTTTTTATTTTTATTTCTTTCAGTTACAGCAGCCTCAGCAGACCATTTTAACACAGGTTAGTTTCCTGGGTTTTTGATTATTCATTTATTTTGATATCTGAATAAAGAGGACAACTGAAGTTTTAATTCTATCCTATATCTTCATTCAAATTTCTGTGATTTTATATTGCTAAGTAAATATAGGAATGTGTTATGGTAGTTTGAGAGTTTTGCATACATGCCAAGCTATTATAAAGTATGAAATCTTACTATAACTTAAAACTTTTTTTTTGGCTTTTTCTGTAGTATTTGGGGTTGTACTTAGGGATTTGTGCTTCTTTCACATTATCTTTTTCCTTTTTTATTTTATTTTCTTTTTTAGTATTGGGGTATGAAATATAGATTGCTCTCTAGGCAAGTGTCCTACTATTTGAGTTATGCAACCTGTCTCATATTTTCTTTATAGGAAATAAAAGAATTTTTTATTTTTTGCATGTGTGGACTAGAGTTTTGAAGTGGGTCTCATGCTTGCTAGCCAGGCACCTCTAGCTTCTTTCCTGTATTTTTTTTGTTTGTTTTTGTTTTTTTGGTCAGTTATGGAGCTTGAACTCTAGGCGTGGGCACTGTCCCTCAGCTCAAGGCTAGCCCTCTACCACTTGAGCTACAGCACCACTTACAATTTTCTGGTGGTTTATTGGAGATAAGAGTCTCATGGACCTGGGTGCCGGTGGCTCACGCCTGTAATCCTAGCTACTCAGGAGGCTGAGATCTGAGGATCTTGGTTCAAAGCCAGCCTGGGCAGGAAAATCTGTGAAATTCTTTTTTTTTTTGGGGGGGGGTTAGTCATGGGGCCTGAACTCTGGGCCTGGGCGCTGTCCCTCAGCTCTTCAGCTCAAGGCTAG